CGACGCCTTTTGACTCGAGGACCCATGTTGGTTCCTTTTTCTTTTTCTTCTTTCTTTTTCTTTTGTTTTCAAAGAATAGAGGTAGGGAGTTGTAGAGTTGTAGAGTTGTAGAGCTGAAAAGCTTCAGGGATGAGATTGAAATGTGAAGCTATGATAAAAGTAGTCCTGAAATGATGATCTGCTGAAAGAAAGAGAAATAGAATCTTTTTATAGAAATAGTGTAAATAGGTAAATGATAGATGAGAAGTAGATAATATTCGTCCAAGAGAAGAAGAGTAGAGTGTGTAGGTCATCAACTGAGTTGGACCGAGCTTCTTCCGACGCGCTTCCCGCGTCTCCAACGTTTTTTTTTTGTTTCTTTCTTTCTCTACGAGAACGAATTGCCAGTTAGCTTCATATAGCTTCATACAGCTTCATTCGACTTAATTTGGTTTCATTCAACTTCATTCAACTTCATTTAATCCCTATTACAGCTTTATAAGGACCACCATTACACCCTATCTGCATCCCCACCTTTCGCCAGCTCCGGCAACCACAGCATGCCATGAACGGCACTCCCCTCCTCCCGTCTGCCTTTCCGCAGACGCCTAAAACAATCCCTGGAACTGGAAGGAGAAAGCTCTTTGAGACTCCTTCACGATCGCAGCCAAGAGAGCCCCGGGCTGTGCGAACGCCCCTCAGATCAGCATCCAAATCAGCCTCGAAGGCCTCGAGACTACCACCCCCGAATCCGAACGATGTGCCACTGATCCCCACCAATGTGATCGATGCTCCCTCCCAACGACTCTATGTCGTTGCAATATATTTTGCCTTGAATGCCTGGAGGATTTATGAATCCTTGACCGCATCCGATGACCTGGATTCAACTTGGCTGCTATTGAAATGGGCCACGATCGATGGAATCTTCCTAGTCGGACTGCAGGCTTTGCGCATACCTTGGCTGGAGTGGGCATTCCCGACCACGCTCACACTATTTCTGCTTCACGCCGTGGGCAATGTGTTTTTGATGTTCCGCATCCCAGTGAGTTTTTCTTTTTTTTTTTTTTTTTCTCTTTCTTTCTTCTCTTGGACTGCTTGCTGATCGACCCTTGCTAATACTTGCAGATTCCTTGGGCTGCATGGATTACTGGACTAGTAAAAGTGGCATACGATCGCGAATTATCGATTTCTGAGCGCAGAGTCAAGCCCGGCGATATCATTCACAATGCGTCATTGATCCTGGGAAAGCAAATTGTGCATATTCTGCCAGAGGGGTAAGTTCATCCGGTCCATATATACCTACCTATAAGATCAAGCTGACTTTATAATAGATCCGCCGTCCTCAATCCGGATCGGAACTCGCTTTGCCTTGATTCTCTGCAATCCACAATTGATCTGCCCATTCGTGTTAACCAGACCGACCCCGTCCTGATTGAAGTGTTGCGCCTGGATCTTAACACTGGCGAAAATGAAACAATCAGCATTCCGTCGAAGCAATTGAAAACTCTGAAAAAGCAAGCTGAAAAGAAGCATGCTCCGGGTCAACTCCATCGCGACTTGCTCTTCCCCGTGCGCAAGACTGGTGTCTATCGTCTTCAACGGGTGGTGGACGAGTCTCAGCTTGATGTCCACACACGAACATTTGATGCGCTGGTGGTCTCTTGCCCGCGAGCCTTGATCAAAAACTCACACATCGACAAGTGCAAAGGAGAATTATCCGACTTCAAACTGGAGGTGGAAGGTACGCCTCCGTTGAAGATCAAATACAGTCGCCAGGTCAACAATCTCGATCGTGGATTCTCGGTCCTCAACATCCAACCCGATCATCTGCGCTCTCCGCTACTCAATGGAAGAACTACTGCTGCTCTGTACAGCATCAACCAGCCCGACGTTTCGTGGGCGCAGAGTCAAAAGATTGAGGTCCCATTGAACGAATCATTGAATGACGGCGGAGAATGGTTTTACACCATCGAAGAGGTCCATGATGCTATTGGAAACGTGGCCAATTATTCTACTATCTTTGATGAAGGAGACCGACCATCCACAAAGTCGCAATCTCAGTGGTACCAGTTCTCCGTTCACGAGCGCCCGCAGTTGTCACTGCAAAACTGCAATGCTCAGAATCCGCTGCAAGTGGCCAAGGGAGACAGCACGAGGTTCCCCCTCAGTTTCCATCCTGACGGACACGCATATGCTAGGGATGGTCCGTTTTCGGTCGGTTACTCGTACACTGGCAACACCCAAGAGGCAGCACATGAACAAACAGTCGGCCTCAAGCATATGAATCAGACTTTGGACATCAAAGAGCCCGGTTTGTATGCCTTGACATCAATCTCTACCAAGTTTTGTCCAGGAGAGATCCTCGAGCCTTCATCTTGCTATTTGCACAACCCGCCTGAGCCAGAAGTGACAGTCAAGGCCGAAAAGATATTTGACCGATGTGCCAACAACGCTATTGGATTACTCGTGGATTTGGATCTCACGGGATCCCCTCCATTCTCTCTCCGGTACAGCATTGAGAGTTCCAAGGGCGTTGTTTCCAAAGTACAAGCCATCAATGGGATGCGCACGCAGCTCGATTTCACCCCATCGGAAGCCGGCTCATACACCTATCGTTTCATTGATATCGAAGATGCCGTCTACTCCCCGCGTTCTCTCAAGATACCGGTGCTTGAACAAGATGTGAAACCACCGGCCTCAGCTCATTTCCTATCAAGAAAATTGAGAACCGCCTGTTTCGGCGAAGCGGTTTCTGTGGAGGTGTCTTTCCTCGGAGAGGCCCCCTGGGTCTTGCAATACGAGATCGTGCACAATGGGAAGAGATCAAGGAAAACACTGGAATCTGATACTGATGTGGCAACTATCACGACGGATAAACTAATCAGTGGTGGTGACTACACTGTGTCTCTGACCAGCGTCAAGGATAAGTCTGGTTGCAAACGGACGCTCAAGGACAGCCTCAATATCGAAGCTCGATCACAGCCCCCGCACGTCTCTTTCGGTCAAATTGACAAGAAGAGAAGTGTCTTGGCTTTGCAGGGCTCCAAGATTGAGATTCCGTTAAGGCTGAGTGGCGAACGCCCGTGGACTGTCAAGTATAAGAATGTTGACGTGGACTCGGCGCCCATCCAGAAAAACTTCTGGGATGAAAACAGTATCTTGACTGTTGACAAGCAAGGTCTTTACGAGATCAGTGAAGTATTTGACGTCGGTTGTCCTGGAACTGTGGATCAGTCTGCAAATGAGTTTGAGGTCTCGTGGATCCCACGGCCCCAAATCACTGCCCTAGACGGCTCTCCAATTGGAGCCGCTAAGGAGTTGGCAAAGTCCGAGGTCTGTCAAGGCGACGATGATAGCCTTGAGGTTCGCCTGTCGGGCAATCCTCCATACAGTGTTCAATACGAGAAGCGACGCAAGGCGGACCGTGGAGGATTCTCTGCGGCGAAGCCACGGGCTTTGAAGTCCGCCCTTCATGTGACGTCGATGGAAATGGATACCTCTGAGGCTGGAGAATACAGCTACAAGTTCACACAAGTTGGTGACAGCCTCTATGACCACGATCCCAAGAGCAAAGCTCTGGTTGTGACACAAAAGGTCAACCCACTACCGTCCGCTAAGTTCGACCAACCTGGCCACGTCTTTGGCTTCTGCAAGGAAGACATCAACGGCGAGGAATCCATCCCCATTACTTTGGAGGGTGTCCCACCGTTCTCTCTAGAGATCAACATCAAACACCACTCGAACGCCAAACCAGAGATTGTCACGATTCCCAAGATCAATTCCAATCGCCATAAACTGCTGATTCCTCGTCGCCATCTTGACTTGGGGCAACACCAGGTCAGCATCCACAAGGTTCGCGATTCTAGAGGATGTCAAAAGACCACTGACCTCGATGCCTCCTCGGTACGGGTCGCCATCTCCGATGTTCCGACCATTATCCCGCTCGAGTCCAAGGTGGACTACTGTGTGGGCGAACGACTCTCCTTCTCGCTGTCAGGCCATGCTCCGTTCGACGTGTTCTACACGTTCGACGGGGCCAAACGCAAGGCGACTAGCCAAACCGCTAACTTCCGTCGTATCGCGGAGCTTCCCGGTCAGTTCACCATCAACGCCGTCAGTGACGGAGCCAGTGGAAAATGCAAGGCCCACAAAGACATCACCAAGGTCATCCACGCTATGCCAAGCGTGCGGATCAGCAAGGGCAAAGAATCAGTGGTGGATATTCACGAGGGTGGAGAAGCCGAGCTTCACTTTGAGTTCTGGGGTACACCACCATTCGAATTCACGTAAGTCAATAATAACCTCTGAGCCTGTCGTCTTTACCAAGACAGTCTGCTAACCTTTCACAGATACATCCGAAGCTCCAATGTCCGCAAGGGAAAGAAGTCGGAGATCCTTGATATCAAGCACGACATCTCCTACGAAAACATCAAGACGATCAAGACCTCTGATGAGGGAACTTACGAGGTTATCGCGATCAAGGACAAGTTCTGTTCATTCTCTTCCCAGGCTCCATCGGGCAAGTCAGACAGATGAAGATAAATCAAATGATGTGATGAATGTGGTGTAATACTTTGGTGTTTTTATGAATCTTGTTATTTACCTTGCCTTGTGGCTTTCTTTCCTCTTTTTTTTTTTTTTTTTTCCAATTTGTTGCATTGCAGCGGCGCTAGCACTTGAATTTCAGATATCTACATGCTTTCTGTCAAACTAATTCCAATTTGTCTACCAGGACGGTCACATCTGCATCTGGACCTCTGATAACGACTTGTCGAGATTCCCGTCTCTTCGACTCGGAAGCTATAACTAAAGGTGTTAGTTAGAGTAAATCAACGATCATGTACCAGAAACGAAACCCTTTTTGAATATTCTTCCCCATGGCGGTTTGGGAAACTTGAGGAAATATATATGAAGCTTTTGATATAAGGTGAGATAGATGGAGGAAGAGGAGAAAGACCCAAAGCAAAGAACAACATATTGTTTGCTATTCGAATGCAAAATCCATCTAAATATTTTAAAATCTACAGCTCAACCTGTACCGCCACCATACTCTCCGACATAAACCCAGTCACAAAGAGCCAAGCAAGCTTCTTACCAGCCTTAGGCTCAATTGGCACCAAAACAGCTGCACTGGCAGTCCGAAGTCTAGACCCATCATCCTCAAACAGCACCTTCTTCTCCCAGACGCCAGTACGAGAATCAAGAGTGGCATACCACACCTGAATAGCATTCAAAGCATTCGGATCCTTCGAATTAGCCATGAGATGAATAGCCTGTGAGACACCGGCGACAAGGAATCCGCTCGCATCATGCAAGTCGGTGGCATACGGATCATGGTAGTAAGACGGGTTATCGGCGAGAGAGCTAAAAGAGACGGAGGTATCGATGGAGATAGAGTGGTTGGACTCGTGTCGAGTAGCGAGGAACATCTCGCCGCCCATAGCGCTAGAAATAATGACTTCATTATCGGTGCGGCCGTGTCCGAGACCATTGTTGTTCCATAGACCTGTCAGTGCGGCGGAGGCTTCGATGGGAGCGTCTTTGCTTGCTAGGTCGGCGATCTGCACGTGGATGATGCTGGACCACTTGGCTGAACGCCAGACGTCTTCGATGAGTCGTTTGGGACCTTCACGGTAGAAGTGGTCGTTGGTGACGTAGAAGGAGGCCGGGCTGATGGCATAGATGTCGTTTGGTGTTTGTATGAGCGGGTGGTTGATTGAGCGGACATGTCTGATGGAATCGGAGTTTAGGATGTGGTGGAAGAGCTCGATCTGAGACTTGGCTTTGGGGAGGTCTTTGGGCTCATCGGCTTCAACGTATGCCGGGTTGGACAAGTGGTTGACGGCGTAGATATAGACTGCGTTTGACTGTTCGGGATCCTCGATGACATCGATTCCATGTGTCACGAAGGGACCTTGGAAGTTCTCGAATGCCAGACGAGTTGATTTCATAGTCTATATTTGGGGGGTTGATTTTTGAGATTTGTTTTCAGATATCTTCAGGACAAACTCACCTTGGGATCCACCACATGGATAGAGCCTTGGGCTGTGAGTGGCAGCATGTGGCCCAGCGGCGGGAACCAGCTCAACCGTGTACTCTTGTCGTCCTCGCAGGCAGTGAACAGCAGGTTTGCTGGGCTGTAGTAGTGCACATCCTCACAGTGAATAGTATCCTCGATATAAATTGGGCCTTGGCCTTCGCCTAATGCTGTCGGATTGGGAGTGAGGAAGTATCCTGTAATATGCACGAAATGGCCTATTGGGCCAGCCAGAAAGGCAACCAGAGCGATGAGGCCGAAGCTGAATGCGGTACCGAATGCCATACTATTGAGTATCAAGTGCGAATGAATATTCTGAAGCAAAATCGGAATTGGAAAAAAGTAAAAAGTCCATATTTATGTTATGTCTCCATTTCAACCCCTCACTAATTTGGACCTCGGAAAATATCCTCGGGAATCTGGGGATCTCCAGAGATCAGCAACTTTTGTTGCTGTTTTTGATCTTGAATGGATAACATATTCCAGATTGTGTAGAATGGTTGTAGGGAGGATAAAAAAGACCTGGGAACCCCTGGAGATGTCCTTGGACTACCTGATTAGTTATATTTCTGCTTAATCATGGGATACCTAAATGGGATTAGCGTATGTTCTATGCAGAAGCAGACGAAGAGAAGAAGAAGAAGCAGAAGAAGAAGAATACAAAGGATTTACAATGAACAATCTCAACATTTGAAAGAGCAAAGTGCATTAAACTATCCTAAGGCAAAAATTATGCAACTCTTTTTTTTTCTTTGTCGATTTTCGTAGGCCAAAAAAAAAAAATAGAAAAAAGAAGAAAATCACTCTGATTAAGTCTAGTCATACTCAGAGTGACTAGACCTCTGCGACAAAGTCCGAAAGAAAATAAAAAAATAAATAAAAAGTGAGTGCACTGGTACAAATTCCCATTCCCATATCGTGTCGTGATGAATTTCCCCAAACATTTTTCAGTTTGCGGATTGCTTGGCCTCAAGATATTCCTGATCGCTGGCGTCAAGAACGTCATATTCTTCGTCAGTCAGGAAGCCAGTGTCGGCATCAGTGGAGGCATCGTCCAGAGTCAGGCTCTCAACATCCTCTAGAACATCCACCTCCGAAGAATTCGACAAGCTCGGTGCCTGCGGTGCAGGAGTCTCGGATTGGTGAGTGCTTGACCCCGGAGATTCCTTCTCCAGCTTGGGGAAGATCATGCCACTGCCGGCAATTTCAGACGCGGCAGGGTAGGTCTCGCTGGTGCCGGCTTCTTCCAGAGAAGTAGACTGTATCTCGACATCACACCACAGACGATGACCGATTGCCACACCGTTGGGGAGTTTCAGACGCCAGTAGGAGATAGCAGAGCCTTCGTGCTGAGAGGTGCGGAGGTTGACAGTAAAGTCAGCACTCTCGCCTGGCTCCACAGGGGCAAGCAATTTGTTGCTTTCCATGGCGGCGCGAATCGACTCGACGCTAGAGGGGTGGCAGACATCGACATTGAACATCTTGTCTCCACCGACGAAGCGCACATCACAGCCAACGGGCCACGCTGCAGGACCAGGGTTGTAGAGGGTCCAGGTTTGGCGGAATGTGGTGTTTGGAGCCATCTTTGTACCGTCCGTGATAGTGTCACGGATAAAGAATGCCTTGTATTCCGACATAACAGAGTCATCGGTCTCGGGAATGGGCTTGCTCAGGAATGGCTGAGGCTCAACCTTCTCCACAGCCTTGCTGCTAGCATCCACCTCAACGGGTTCCTGCTCCTCAACTTCGGCCTGGTCAACGGGTCGAGTGGGACGAGTAGGGGCATGAACCTGGTCACCCAGGGCAACTGCTCCACTCAAGCCGTCGTCGCCTATGGTGCTCACAGTCACATTGCGGACGGGAGTGTTGAATTTGACCAGCGGATGAGTGCGGTTGTGGTGGTCAGTCGGAAGAGCCTCGCAGCTGGCACAGAAGTCGGTGTCATCACAGACAGCGCACTTGTAGCGAACTCCGCTGATGTAATTCTGGGCAGGTTTGCTCTTGCACAGAGGACCGTCACAGAAGATGCCATAGTGGATTTCATGTTCCCGAGCAGGTTCACCAATAGTATCGTAAACCTGCACGAACCGATGACTCGGGTGACTCTGAGAAGCAGTCAAAATGCATTCGGGGCAGAAGTCCCAATCGGGGCAGGCTAAGCACTTGTGACGAACACCAACGATACGCTAGAAAAAGAAATTAGTCAAGAGCCTCCGGAGTGGGTGGAACGAGTAAATACCTTGTCACAGCCGTCACAGACCGCGGCGTGTCGGAACTGCCGACCAGGAAGACAGCGAGAGGTGATCAGATTCTTCAAGCAGAAGTTTCGATCCGATCCCAGGTGGAAGGTGTGGCCAGGGTGGTGTCCATGCTTATTTCGGAGGAGGCAGCGAAGGCAAAGGTCATAGTCCTCGCATTCATTGCAGCGGACAAGGTTGCTTTCGTCGGCTTCTGTTTGTTGTGAGCAAAGAGAAGAGAGAAAATGAAAGTGAGAAAGAGAAAACTTACCGCGGCAGCATCCATTGCACATTGGCTTGTCATCACCCTGAATGGCTGCATCCAAACAAGCCGGCGGGGCCACTGGCTCTGGAATCGACTCCTGGATGGACTCTGGAATCGACTCTTGGATTGACTCTGGAATTGATTCCTGAATCGACTCAGGGACTGGTTCAGGGACCGACTCGGGGACGTGGACCACCGGCTTGGTAATCACCTCGCGCTGAATCTGAGTAGGCAGCATGGGGTTGAACTCCACTGCTGATTGATCACGAGGAGCAATAGTCTCGGTGGTACTGTTTGTGACGACACCATCCTTAACTGTCCTCTTGATCAACCAGTGACCTTCGCCGCGGCAAGATGCCCCGGCACCGACACATTGTAGACACAAGTCATAGTCTCCGTTCTCGCAAATGCTGCAGTGATAATGCGCATTTGCAATAGAACGACCACAGTGATTGCAGTCAATGCAGAACATCCCGTTGGACGAGCTGTGAGAGATGACCGGGAACTGATGCTTTTCTTGGTCCATCTCAAATGTGCGGTAGTGAGGTTGACCGAGAGGCAACTCTGTCTCATCGGTGAGATGAGGAACTTGGGTCGACTCAATAAGAGGGAGAGTAGGGAGGATTTTGGGAGGTGGTAGAGGACTCAGGACCGTTTCGAGATAACTGTGACGAGGGTGGTAGGTTGACTCCATCGGCACAGTGGGTTCTGATGGTACTGGTGATGGTGCAGATGTGTTTTGGGAAGGAAGAGTAGTGACCTTGATACGGAGTTTAGACTTGGCCTTAGCAGCTCGGTAGAGTTGTTTGTAGACTGCGATGTTGTCACAATCTAAGCGAATGTAAGAACCAGCACTGTCGGAATAGCGTTCAAGGATGACGTTGACATCCGCCGGAACCCCGAGCAGTTTCCTAAGCTAAACCGAAAGCGTCAAATCAGCTTGTGAAGAAGAAAAAACAAAAACAATATGTATCCTTTTGTTTACGGTTGGAAGAAAATATTTTGGACATAAAACATGATCTGATGATCGCTGAAGATAAGGAATGGAGTCGGACTACAGATCCGAAGCTTGAGCTTGAGTGGAGACTTACCACCTGGGGAAACACCTGGGCCTTCAGCTCCCTGAGAGGCATCTTGAAGCGACGGTTACTGTCATTGTAAAGTACTTTGACGGTAACCAGATTCTCTGGGCCCGAATGAGAAGGAGTAGATGGGGTGGTCATCGTAGACGATGTGCAAGTCCACCGGTGGATACACCGTTGAGATAAGGCAACAGAACAGTACTAGGGTGATGGATGGGAAAGGACAAAACCAGCACTTTACGAGTCAGAAAGAAATGCTGGAAGATAAAATGATGATGATTTTTTTTTAATGATGAAGGAAAAGAAAAGAAGTAGAGGAGAGAATCAAGGAAAAATAAGAGGGGAGTTGTACAAAACGCCCGTCGAATTGAAGGGAAAAAGCGGAGAGAACGGTCAGCTGCTGCTAACTGACAGGGAAGGCGGTGAGATATTTCCCTTTCAGGATGGATTACATAATATTATATGACGTGTTCAAACCCGGAGAGAATGCCAAGAAATACAGTGACTATCATACCTACATGCTCCTAGTTAACTACAACATAGTTGTCTACATCGTGGACTGCTTTGGACTTAAGAAAGTAGTTACAATATTGGCTTTTTTTTAATTCTTCATCAAATCCCCCCTCCAGAGAGAGGGAGAGGACCAAAATATCATCAAAAATCGAAAAACAGGAAAAGATGATGTCATGCACTAAATGCAGAACGGGAATTCGATCGCCCGATTGGAGGGAGATTGAGGGGGTTTGGGCTGAGAAGGGCTAGAATCAAAGACGTGATATTCCCCAAGTCTGGAAGTAAACATGGGGAAAATTGCGGAGGGAAAAACGCTCAAATGCATCAAAATCCAAGAGGGCCATGAATCAAAACTAGGACAGAAATTAAGGGAGAACAAAAAAAAAAAGGAGCAAAACTTGGCTAGAGAATGTGTGGATGCTTGAAAGGAAAAGAAAAAGCAAAAGCAAAGTGAATCATAGACCCCTGTAGAGAGAGAGGTGAAGGAAATTTGAAAGGAAATCGAGAACAAAGAGAGAGAATTGGAAGAAGTTGGTGGAAATTGAAGATGTGATGAGAAGAGAAGAAAAGAGAAGAGAGAAAAGAGAAAAGAGAAGAAAAGAGAAAGGGATTCATCACTGCCCATAATATTGACCGGATTGTTGAGGATAGTAGAAGGTCGTGCCTGGCGGTGTCATCATTCCGCCCATGCCAACCACACCCCCAGAGCCCGATCCCGATCCCGGTCCTGGTCCTGGTGCGGGACCTCCGTACATATTATTGGCATCATAAAAGTAGACGGTGCCCCCAGACTCATGAGCAACAGTACCCGGTGGAGGGGGCTGCTCCCCAGCTAAATAGGGCATTGCTTGCTGGCCCGGGAAATTTGGCACAGAAGCTCCGGGCCCAACGGGGCCATTGTAACCCGCATAATCGGGGCCCGAAGGCGGGTAATACATGCCCGAAGGATAGCTCGGAGGGTAGAAGCCAGACTGAGGATAATTGTAAGGTTGGAAGGGGGTGCGTGAATCGCCCGCTCCGGAATCTGGGAAAGCGGAGTGGCCGAATTCTGGCTGGGTGGGCCATGGCCTGGAAGAGGGACTTGGTGGTGGAAAGGCTGCTCATGCTGGGGTTGAGGCGGGTTGAAAGCGAACGGGAAAGTCGCTGGACTTTCAATGTCCGCAACGGAGACCGTCTTTTGAGGACGAGGTTGATGTATGGGGATCGGGGCGGGGCGGCTTTCGCGATAGGCCGGGTGAGGGAGGGACATAGCCATTGCAGGCCCAAATGGTGGGATCCCGACAGGCGGACGAGGTGGAGGAGGAAGACGAACAACGGGCTTGGGGTCGGTGGGAATTATAGGTCTGGAGTAGACAGACCCAGCAGGTGACGGCCACCCGTCCTGAGAAGGCATGCCAAATGAAGATCGACGGCTGACAACGCTAGGCGTATAAGAGGAGTTGGGGTAGTAGCTAGGACGTCGTCCACTGTACCAGCCGCCACCACGACCACCTCGACCACGAGAGACTTGGTTCGGCCGCAACGCGCGGGGGATAAAGATAAAGGAACGTTCAACGGAGGGGAATATGTATCGGGGCGGTTGGCTGGGAAGAGAAATTCGTACAGGCTTGTCGCGCCGCAAGGGGGGTCGGTGCTGAGGTAGCCGGGTGTGGAGTCTCTTGGGCACGGAAGAAAAATGAATTGGATTGGCCATGCCGGGCAAGGAAACAACGACAGGTACATTTCCAACCAACGTTGTGTTAGAAAAGGACCGGTTGGGCGGGGAAGATCTAGGGGCGGTGGGGACGGATGCGCCAGTATTAGGCATCGCGGATGATGTTGGGCGCTTTGCTGTAGGTCGATCCTCGCCAGCCACGGTATCGTGGAGATCGTGTGCCCACTGCCCTCCGCTGGCATCGGGCTTGGAAGACCTGAATCACGTTAGTAAGAAACACGACTGGGGGATGGAATGGAAAGTAACATACTTGCGAGAGCTGCCGTCTACGATCAGGCCGTAGGGGCGAGACTTGCTCTTGAGCCGGTGACCATTGTCAGTGGATCGCTTGTCATGAAGGAAAAAGCTGCCGCGAGTGGGAACGAAGGCTGGGTTCTGCTCTCGTTCCTTGACATACTTGTCATTCTCGCGGCGCTTTCTGGAAGCCAAATTGTTTCGATTTGGCTCGGTTGGAGGAGCGGAAGGCGTTCTTCCAGGGTTAGCCTCTTGTTGTTCCTCGAGGTCATCGAATTGAACCTCCGCAGCGTCGCCCGCACCGTCTGAGATCTTCAGGCCGTTCAACATTGCCTCTGTATCTGAAACAGTTGTCTTGAGTTCTCGTTTTCCCGGCGATACAGAGCTACTCCGTGTAGATTTGTCCACCCCACGACCGTTGACCTTGCCCGCCTTATCCAACGTAGAAACCTCGTCCTCGCTCTCCTCGCTGACTTCTCCGTCTGCATCTTCGTCCTCTTGGTGACTGTCGACCGAGCCTTCACTCAAGGAGTCGTCTCCTATGTCACCAGCCATTGAACCCTCTTCTTCACCATCCTCCTCCCGTCTCTTTCTGCGGCTAGCCCCGATATGACGTCGAAGAGGAGCCATGTTGAAGACGCAAGGGATTAATCACTTGGGGGAGGCGTAGATGTTTTATATTGACACACGCTTGACTTGGTGATTATCGGGACCGGGTTGGCTTAGAGAATGGAGTATGGTGAAAACAGTGGGCGTTGAAGGACGATAAACCAGTGGAATAGCAAATGAAATCAAAAAATATCAAAATACCAAGACAGGCTAGAAGAAACAAAAGGACACCTTGTGCAAGAATTATAACCAAAAGTGAAGAGAAAGAAGAGAAAGAGCAAGGGGGAAGAAGAAAGGAGATGCAGCCCAAGAGAGATGAGAAGAAGTACAGAGAGACTCGAGTACAGAGGAAGGGCATGACATCGCGGGAGACGTCAGGCCTGATCGGGCCTAGTCCAGGCGGTGAGGCTGTTTCTGCCTTGATGGGGGCCTAGAATTGCTGTCTTAAAAAGGTTACTTGATTTGGTTAGTGCCTGGCAAGCTAAATATTTGACATCTATAGAAGGCTTAGAATATAAAATATGAAGGTTGTGTGAAAGTCTTTTGTTTGATTTTTGGTAAATTCGAGAGGTTGCGCCCTATTATGCAGGCCGGGATATTGTGATATCCGGAAGTATACATGCGTTTCTTTTTTTGCGCATTCCACTGCAAGATGTGCCACCGAGTAATGGACTCGATGATCATGGATATCTGAGAGATCGTACAAATATTGGAAATTATCACCCAAAGGTCACGTTTGAGTCACAGGGTAGACCACGGTCGGAGTTTGATCCAATGCCACTTCGATTGCAGGCAGATCATTGACAGGTATCAGAATTTCACTGATTTATATTGTGTATGAGATGATTGAATGGCCCTGTAGAAAGACCGCAGATGATACTCCACGAACCGCAGATAAGTGACTTAGTCAAACGTGGTCTTCTGACCTTGACCCTCGACAATGGCACCACTGAGCTTCTGGACGGTTTCCTTGGAGTAGCGAGAGTCATCGATGGATTCACGTCTCTTCTTGTGTCGGGGTCTTTCTCGTGATTCGCCATCGACTTCGGTAATAGCCGGTTCATCCTTCTTCTCGGCATCCTTTCCAAAGCGCTTCTTGTATCGTGTAGACGCATCTTCGGCAAATTCCATTCGCATACGACGGCCCATAAGCTGGTTCACCCAAACCCTTTGCATCCGAGGCTTTAGCTTCTTCGACTTCTTCTTCGTCTCGGATGCTGAGTCGGAATCACTGTCGGAGGAATCCTCTTCACCGTCATCCTCCTTGACCAACATGAATCCTCTCACCGCTGCTTCTGCGGCAGCAAGTTCTTCAAACTCCACCCACGCATAACCCTTGCATTTTCCGGTATCTTGGAAAGTCGCCATATGCACGTTGGTAACAGTCCCGCATTTGCCGAAGTTTTCTTCGAGGTTTTCCTTGGTCACATCGAAGCTCAGGTTGCCGACGAAAATTCGCTTGGAGGGGGATGGCCAGACTTGGCTGCACCCGCAGCATTCTCTTGGGTTTCGGATTTCTCCGGGCGACCTGCAAAGTTGTTTGCATCCTTGATGAGCACGCGGCGGCCGGTCATGAGCTGCTCGCTTAGGCCGATTGCTTCTTGCAAAGACTTCTTGTCGGTGAAGTCGACATAAGCAAAGCCTCTGTTCTGTGACCTCCCAAATCTTTCAGGGCCCTTGGGGAGATGAATTCGCGTGATATCGGACTCGGAGATGTCGGAGTTGACGGTGAAGAACATGCGCAGCTCTTCTCTGGTCACAGTGAACGATAGGTTTCCAATCCAGATACCATATTGGGACCGCTTCCCCTCTGTTTCAGCTTCTTTGGATTCGGGTTTGCTGGACTTGCTAGACTTGGGTTTTTCATCATCACCTGCATCGCCTCCTTTGTTCTTTTTCGCTTTGCGCAGGGCCTTTTTTGAGACTGGCTCGGGTGCAGCAACATCGATTTCAAGCTCAGGACCATCCTGCAGCTTGCGCTTCTTTGACTGACTTCGGTGAGTTCCGACATGATGCGACAAGTGTAAATAGTGTGTTGACCACTATAATAATAATAGTCAATCAAAAGTCTGAGATTCTTTCGGGTCACAGGGAATCAAAGCAAAATAATTTAATTTTTTTTTACGGCGGCCAGGACCCGCCTCCCACGCAGCCCGATCCGCTTCTTGGCACGAACGCGCAGGGTGACCACATCCCCTTCATCTCTTCTGAACTTCTCCCCGTCATAACACCATGGCAGAACCAGATGACAACCGTGTTACCGAAAGCTTGCCAAATGCACCAACTGCTGCACCGGCTCCTGCAAAGCAATCAGTCCGGTCATTCAAGTACGAGTCCTCACAATCATCCGATCGGACAATGCTGACTTCTCTTTTCTGTCTAGGAAGAAATATGCCAAGCTGAAAGTCAGATTTGAGCTAGGAAGTCGAGAGAGTGAGAGTTTGATCAGGGAAGAATTGCGCATAGAGGACCTGTCCAAGCGCATTCAGGAACAAAACGAGTATGGGACTTACAAATCCCCACCCCCTGTATGAATAATTGCTAATGCTTTGATACTAGTCAATTGCTAGAGGTTCTCCTTGAGTTCAACGAAAGCTTACATGTTTCTCCCGACGTGCGATTCGATCTGAGCATGCCAACCGACCCTCCCTTGCTACCTACGGCCAAGCAGGAAATTGTACCTTTGATCAACGATGCAACACTAGCAAAACAAGCATGGAAGGAAGCCAAAGCTGGCTTGACTGCTGGTAGCATTGACACAAGTGCTTACCGTATCATTGAAGACAACATCAAACGAAACAAGGCGTTTGCACCTGCCCAGCAGTATAGCACCCTGTCACAGACCCATCACACCACGACAGACGCTGTTGAAAAGAAGCCCGACAACGATTGTGAACGCCAACTTGGATACTTTACGCCCGAGCATGAGACTGAGTACTATCTCGCCTTGGATGCCAAGCTAGGCGATGAGGCGGCTGCTACCCAACTTGCACGAATTCCAGATCGTCCCACGTTTGCGGAGCGTGAGCGGGATCTTACTATGCGGAATCCTGCATCGGTATACAACTGGCTGCGTCGCAACCAACCGCAAACCCTTCAAGATAATGAGATTGCTTCTGAAAAGTCTGCATCACGACCTTCCAATCAGCGATCTTCCAAGCGAGCGCCTGCTCAACGCAAGGATGAGGACATGTATGATGAGGATGGGACAGAGGTCCAGCCTACTCCTAAGAACAAGCGCAAGCGTGAAGAGGACACTGGTTATAGACCCAAGGGTGGTAGCAGCCGGTCGAAAAAGAAGAAGGAAGAGCCTACTTCCAACCCAAGCAAAGTGGCCAAAAAGCCTTGAGCGGTTGCTTTATAAAGGGAATTCATTTTTTGTGTATTAATACTGGCGTTGGTTTGATTCATCGGTTTCAAATGATATGAACGGATAATTCGTATTTTCAATTTCAAAATATAGTATGAATACATGTATGTGTCTCCATGAGATATCTAGGTAATAAAATACATTCTGAAGTTGGGTATATTTTGTATGGTGTGCCTGGAGGATACCTCATATGTTGTATGTACCCGGTTCTTGCCAAGCAACCCAACCCCCTGCGGGTGTTGGGTTACCACACACTAATACAAACTCTTGCCTAATACAAATTTTACACTACCCACCATTTTTACTACCATTTTATACCCTACAAATATGCCTGAAAAAAACCTAGATTTGGAGAGATCATTGGCAAATGCCCTATCTACATGGCATACTAGAAAAAAACCAAAAATAGCACTATTAGCGCGAGAATTCGGCGTTCCCTACACCTAGTTCTACAACCGCATTCACGGTCGGGGTTCTCGTTCGACGCGCTATGCCACCAATTCAGTCTTAAATTCGGATCAAGAGCAAGCATTAATTAGCTAGATCACTATACTAGATGATACTTGCTCTCCGCCTACCGCTAAGATGATAGAAGGGTGTGCAAATTCGATGATTCTACGCGAAGACGCGTCGCGTTCGCCGGTAGATAAGAACTAGGTATACCGGTTTTTAAAACGCATCCTACCTATCCACAACCTTTATTTTATAAAACAAAAACTAAAGGAAAAGAAGAGAATAGAGGCCGAAGATCTTAGTTATCTTACTACTTAGTATAAACATTTAAACTAGTATATTAAGAGCAATTAACTAAGGCCACGGGATATCTATAACTTTAACGAAACTAGCTTCCAAATTAGCTAAGGAAAGCCTTAAAAGGTCGTTTTAAAAAGCTAGAATCTATATTCACTAAATAGAGGTATTACGGAAGGTATTACCGGTATTGAATATATTACTACCGACGGTTAGAAGATAGTACCTTAGTTCCTAGTTCGGGGTAAATTTTATATAGAGAATTAGTATAAAGATACCAACCTTCCTACGGATTATATCCTAGTAACTACGCCTAATAGCTATATTACCGATTAAACTACTATTTAATAGCTTAAGGCCTTTAATTTAGCTACGAAAGACCGGACTACTCGGGGTAGTAAACGGCTTTTGTTAATAGATAACTATAGTTCCTACCGGAACCCGGAATTTATTGCCTTTATAGCGGAAAATGGCATTATTCCCTACTATTTTATACCCTATATAACCTATCTATACTAACCGCTAGATAGTAAGCCTTTTCTTACTTTAAAATATTACTACTAATCGAATAATAATACTATTATTTAATAGGGTGGTTCGGTAGACCGTAAAACGGACTTTTTCCGGAAGATTGTTTCCGTCCGTAATACCCTTATAACTAGAGTAATTAAGTCGGGATTTGTTTATTATAGCATTTCCCTATTTAACTATATAATAGTGCTTAATCCGCTTAAAAAGAAGTGGATTATAGTGATAATCTAGTTATCTTTAGTAAAGATGACGGATTAGAGATAGATTTTCCTAGCTCTATTACTAATTCACTACCCCGCGATATCTCTCGTATAAACGAGAGTACTCGTAAATTAGAGGTAGATATAGAATTGCTAGATAGCGAGCTTTATATAGCTATTCGATACCGAGTAAGGCTATTATATCGAAGTACGCGGATTTCGGCAGAGCTTACTACCTAGCTTGCTAAGGATAATACTACTCTTCTACGCTATAAAGTCCACCGGGATACCCGGATTACCAAACGGTAGATCAATTTAGGGGGCCCCCTAACCGCCGGTAATGTAAATCGAATGATCCGGGCGCGTGAATCAAAGGAGCAGGCCCAAGAAGACAGGCGGTTGAAAAAGTAGGGTCGGAAGCAAGCAATTGCAGAGGACATACCGACACCAGGACCCCGTTTTATACTATGGATACCGCCTATGGATGATGAACCTACTATTTAACTTTTTTCTTATATTTTTACCTGATTTTATTAGGCGTTGTGTGGTAGGAAAAATACAAAAACATTTGATGCGTTCTTTAAAATTTGTATTAGGCAAGAGTTTGTATTAGTGTGTGGTAACCCAACACCCGCAGGGGGGTTGGGTTGCTTGGCAAGAACCGGGTAATAACCATTTTATCGAACCCTAGAGCTTCCAAACAAAGGCACTAAGGTATGGTGTGGGTATAAGTGAGATCCACATAGTTAGAACATTGAACTTCAAGATTCCCTTTCAGTACATCTTACCGATATTGATACCAAATTAATTAAAGCCCTTTTCAATAACATTGTCATTGTGTATAGATCTCTAATCTTCTTATGTAGCTAATAGTTAGTATAGTTATGTACCAGATACTTTCTGTATTAGTGCACACCTCTTGCCGCTTTTTGATCACTAAGTAAAACTGAGCACGTCCCTAAGTATTCTGGCTGGGGAGTTTATGCCTGAGGCACTACAATAAAGGCCTAAGGCTGCCAAAACAACGAGGACTACCAGCCATACATCACAACTCGCATTGGCCCAGCTCGCCAGAATTTAGCGGCCGTACTTTGGATCACATAACCAGCTACGGAAGCGTAATTAAGGAGAAATCAGACGGCGATACCGAATTGGCACTACGGGTGCTTCACATTCGGCGGGCGTCGTTTTACCTGGAGACTAACCCTGCAACATACCGAATATCTCGTCGATATCCGCTCCGAACGGCCAAAGGTGGGCAGCAAAACAGGCAAGATCGAAGACGAGGTGTTTGAGGCGAAGCTGGCATGGGCGAACAGCTACAGGTTTTTCAACGATACTCAGCCTGAGGTCGTTGGTGGGCTTGGTCTATTCTTCCGGGAGCTTCTGCTTGCCAGCCAATGTACACGATATCTGATCGCGAAGTTTAGGTACTAATTATCGCATTCTTGTGGTAGCTTCAACTGATATTCAACGCAAACGAGGATATCACTTCTAAAAAATACGAACCAGTACCTCAAAGCGAGTGGGGGATATACAGATCGACATAGGAATACGAGATTCCCATCAAAACATCGTTGGCCAAGAACGAATAGAAATCCAATTGCCAAAAGGTTCGCCCAGACCTCGGGATGATCTTGACCTATTTATCAAATCAATCTCGTCTCCCTTTCTTTCTTTCTTTCTTTCCTTCTTTTTTCACTCTCGTTTATACGGAGTACTCGCTTTTCCATTCCCCAGTTCGAAACAAATCTTCGGCTTGTCAGCCAACGCTCAGAGTATGTTTTGGTTGATTTTATTTTCCATCCCCGTTGTCCGAGGGCAGTGTTCCCAGCAGTGTGGTCCAATTTCCTCGCTTTTATCATCATGCTCGCTTCCTGATCTCGACACGGATTGGCACGAGTTCCAACATCTCCCCATCGAACGCAATCTCTCTGGTCGGGAATACGCTCCATTCGGAAATGGGCCCTCGACGGCTCGGATTGCGACATACAACGAAGCGCGATGCTTCTGCACTAAAGCTATCAACTCACTCTCAGACTGTGAAGTCTGTGCCCGCTCAGCTTCTGAGTCGGAGACCCCGATAGCCAACCAGAACGATGTTGCAAGGTATTATCATGAGGACTGTAAGGCATTTGGGTATTTTGCCAACTCAACCCTCTCCTCTCCTTCTACGACTCTATCATCCATGCCGCCGGCGACTAAAGCACCGGACTACAATCGCGATTGTGAGATCTGCGGTGTAATCCATGGACAAATTACGGAATGTGATCTGGTCGACCTAGACATTTTCCCGACACCAACTCAGACGAGTGTACTCGCGGAGGGGTATGATTTTCACGGGAACGTATTACTCAACCGAACGGCCGCCGAGTGCTTCTGTACGCTTCCTGTCTTAAGACGACTTGATGGCTGCAGACAATGTATCACCATTAAAAACGACGATCTACGGGAAGTCTTCGATTTGTATCGGTCCGAATGCGAGAAACTAGGCTACTGGACTGACAACCAGGTTGTGGAATATGAAAGCTCTCCGAGTAGTACTACTAGTACTCAATCTGGTTCGAGCCCGACTTCACAAGCACCGGAATCTCCACAGACTGGTGAGGGAGCTAATATCAAACGGACACGACTGCTACCGCCTCTTGTATTATCTGGTACTATGTTGCTTTGTATTTTCTGACAGGGCGTAAGGCCACATAATGGATGTATGGATGATTTTATTTACTTTGACCCCTCGCCAAATCGATATGTAGGCTACAACAAGTATATATCCCGATGTACGTAGTTCTATGGAGAGAGTATTCCACCTGGGCACTTCTTGAAGAGGAACCTAGGGGGGAAGTTGCAAGGAGGCACCAATCGGTGTGCTCATAACTTACTCTGTACATCAACATCAACACGCCCTAACTAGGACTTTCTCTCGTTGAAGTCCCGGGATTTTCCCCCTTTGCGCACGGAGAAACCAATTTCCTGCACCGAAAATACTTCGGGGTTGCTTACGCCGAGATGCCCGACTGCAAGTCCCAAGTGTTGCAGATTATGGGCCAATATGACCCGGACGACACTTTCCTCGGTGAAATTGATTTCACCTTGCCACCAATCATTTTTGGTAGGGAAGTATGTTTGTACCATAAGGAGAGTTGCTTAAGAACATGATAGGGTATTTTATGCCAAGGTGCCATGTCCTCTTGACTCCTCTCATGGTTGTAACCCGCCAAGAGCAGCGCTAGTATGCTCATAGCTCTAGCAGATTGCGTCAAAATGGATTTAAAAAGGGCCGTTCGCCTTTGCAAAACTAAGAACACGCGAATGTTTCAATTTCAACCATGTTGAAACTTGGCGTTGGCTTTCTGGTTCTTGTTGGACATCTAAGCCATCATGCCGTAGCATCCAACTGCACCTCATCTTCCGCAACTGCTCACTGGCTTGGTGAAAAACCAACGTACCATGCTGGTGTAACTTTTGGTCTGCCATGGCCGCAAGGCAAATATCAGCCCCAAGAGACTATCTTCAGTCTGACTGGCGATACTGAAGACAAATCAGAATTGCAATCTTGGGCAACTGGCTACTGGGCCGACGGTTCCCTCAAATGGACAGCGCATGCCATTGCCGAATCAAACCAAATCTATGACCAATATACCGTTACTGCAACTTCACTGGGCTGTGTCAACAACTCGTCTTCGCCGTCAGAATCCAGTGCATCACAGAGCCCTATCGTTGTAACAGATAGTTCCGACGCGCTTACCGTCAACACGGGCGAGATCACCGTCTCATTTCCTAAAGGAGGGAACACCATTATTAGCAATATCAAGACAAAGGGTGGCAAGATTATCGGTGCAAACGGAAGACTTGTGCTCCAATCTCAGGACTCGGTGCCGGATAATTTTGACAACCGAACAAATTCTCCCATCCAATATTCCAATTTTGATGGCAATATCAACGAGGTCTTTGTAAATCATACATCGGCTCGCACGCTTGTAACTGTTCGTGGAAATCATACAGTCACCGATGGTCCCGATCACGATTCGTGGCTGCCATTCGTTGTTAGATTCTACCTTTACGCCAACTCTGCCACTATCAAAGTACTGCATAGCATCGTTTTTGATGGAGGCGAGAAGGATTTCGTCACCGGCCTCGGTATTCGATTCGATGTCCCATTGAAAGGCCAGGAATACTACGACCGGCACATCAGGTTCGCCGGTGTGGATGGCGGCATCTTCAACGAGGCAGTTCAGGGAATAACTGGACTGCGGAGAGACCCTGGCGAAGAAATTAGGGCTGCGCAATTTGCGGGCAAGAAACTGGCAGACACAGAGACTTGGGACACCAGGGTCACCACTCGGCTAAAGTGGATTCCAACGTGGGCAGACTACAGTCTTTCTCAGCTCACGGCCGATGGTTTTGGCCTTAAAAAGAGGACCAAGGCTGGCCAGTCATGGGTCAAAATTCCCAGCGGAACCCGTGCTGAAGGCCTGGCTTATCTAGGAGGTGCTACACAAGGAGGTCTCGCCGTCGGTCTACGGGATTTCTGGAAGCGGTACCCTGTTGGACTTGACATTTCCAATGCTGCCTCCGATACAGGTGAACTCACTTTGTGGTTATATAGCCCCGCTGCTGACCCATTGGATATGCGACCCTTCCACGATGGCTTAGGCCAGGATGGATATGAAGATCAATTGGACGCTCTCGAGATTACCTACGAGGACTGGGAACCCGGCTTTGATACGCCATATGGAATTGCTCGAACTAGTGAAGTATACTTGTTCGCGTTTGACCAAACGCCAACAAGTGAAAAGCTTGCATCGCTCACTGCGTACATGAATGATCCCCCGGTGTTGGTCGCAGAGCCGAAATATATCTATGAAACGCAAGCCCTCGGCGAGTACTGGGCGTTGCCAGGAGTCGCCAGTCCCGCTGCAGCTACTCTGGAAGATCGGCTCCATTTCATTTTTGACTTCTACAAGGGCCAAATTGAGCAGCGTCGCTGGTATGGCTTCTTGGACTACGGTGATTTCATGCACACATATGACACCGACCGACACACCTGGCGATACGACGTTGGTGGTTATGCCTGGGACAATTCAGAGCTGTCACCAGATCTCTTCTTCTGGCTTTACTTCCTCCGCACTGGCAGCAAAGATGCGTACCGATTTGCCGAGGCCCTGACCAGGCACACAGGTGAAGTCGATGTGTACCACATTGGTGACTGGAAGGGTCTGGGCACACGGCACGGTGTGCAGCACTGGAGTGATAGCGCGAAACAGGCTCGCATCTCTCAGCCGCAATACCGAAAATACTTCTTCTACCTCTCGGGAGGAGACGAGCGCGTCGGGGAGTTACTGGAAGAATTGCTTGACACCGATAAGACCTACGGGAAGCTTGATCCTCAGAGAAAAGTTCGCACAGATGGCTGGGAACCCAGTCCAAATTCGACGATCTCCTTTGGTCTTGGAACCGATTGGTCGAGTCTCGCTGCAGGGTGGCTAATTGAATGGGAACGTCGAGGTTCGAGATGGGAAGAGGCTAGGACAAAGTTGAACAACACGATCTCAGCAATAGCAAATCTGACCAACGGATTTGTGACCGGCTCCGGGCTGTACGACCCTGTGACCTGGACATTGGGCCCTCCCCTTCCGACCCGGGTAACCAGGGGAACGTGTCTATATCACATCTGAACGCAGTCTTCGGTCTTCCCGAGGTTGTTTCCGAAGCCATCGCATATTTGGCGGATGATATACCCAAAGGATTCAAGCAAGCGTGGTTGGACTACTGCTACTACTACCATGCCTCAGCGTCGGAGCAGAAGGACCGATATGGAGTGAGCTTCAGCAAAATAAGTCTTCTCCAGGCGCATTCAAGGCTGGCAGCGTACGCGGCGTATGAGACTAAGAACAAAACGCTTGCGCTGCGGGCCTGGAAGGACTTTTATGCTAGCGATGGGCTATTGCCGGATGCCCCCTGGAACATCACGCATGTGGACGGAGACGGTGTTTTAGTGCCCGTTGATGAGGCTGCTTGGCTTGGGACTAACGATATCGCCCAGTACGGTCTGGCTGTTATTCAGAATTTGGCCTATATTTCGGATTCGCTTGATGACTATCAATCATGAGCTTTGATGGTATAGGAGCTTCGAGCCTGCATGTAGCATCGAATATACAAGTATTATGTTGACGCCCGAATCCACAGTAATTGGATTTGTAACATTTCTGTTTGATGCTAGCTTTTACCATGTAGTAGGCGATATCATAAATTGGATTAGAGATTCACCTGTTTCAGTAGGTATAAATAAACACATAGAGACCACGAGTTACTCCTATATAACAAACATGATATTCAAATTACTGATTAATGGCAAAACATCACATTTCATCAATCTCAGGCTCTCTCTCCTCTCGGACAGGATCCCGCTTCGTCTGCGCGGACTTAGCTGTCTGCGCGGACTTAGCTGTCTTCGCATTCTCAGGAGGCGGTTTTCCTCGGAGACTTTCAATGATCTCATCCATTGTCTGATAATCGACTCGTCAGTGGTGTCACGATATTATATGTGAAATGTCCGATCATATACGAACCGGGTTATAAGAGTCGTCGATCCCCCGATTCCGGTTTCGCCTCTCAAGGATCTGGGACTTCAAAGGCGAGTCCTCGAAGTCATCTGGGAATGCCGCACCGATATTAACTAGGGTTGGATTGTAAGCTGCTTTCCAGACTATCCCAATAGAAATAGATATGCTGGTCGTACATTTCTGATCACCATCATTTCTGGACTGGACCTTTTGTGCGAAAGCTCGAGTCAGCCTAGGGGCGTAAGAGGTAGAGGACCTCACGATATATCGTTGCATATTGGGTTATTTCCTTGAGAATTATTATAAGGCTTAATTCATTTTGTTTCAAAATCTCGAACGACAGGTGTTTTTAAAGCGAAAATATACTCTGGGGATTAGGTTCATCCTGATGTCAACGGTAATGAACTGGCTGAATACGAAGTATCAGCCGATCAATCGATATTTCGATTCAAGAAATCAATTCAAGAAATCAAAATAATTGACCCAAGGCAAACACTTCGTGGTGACGTTGATCCGCGCCACCATCTCTTACTAGTTGACCTATCCTATACACAGGCTACTTATCAGCTCACAGCAATAATACATGTGAAAGTCATAGCCCTTGACATTTAGGCAATTTGTTATTACAACAAGCTGAAAATCATCATCCTCATGGGTGGTTAGCAATGGCGATACTGTCAGATATATCTGAATCCACGGAAATTCCGAAAGATCTTATAGGCTCCATGCAGTGTCGCACACATACCACCACCCGCAGTGGCCCACGCAGCTCCCTGGAAGCGTAAGGAGTTGATCGGTATATTCCGTTTCTTTGACGGACCTTTGCGTTTTCCATTTAGTTGAACTGCATGATGTGGACTGCGCTGGGGTGATGACAAGGATATACTACATACCTCGGGATACAGGCCACGATCGTCTTGGTAGTCTCCCGACCTGTGAATCGAGAAGGGTTTGGAAATCGTTGAGTGGGGAGGACATCTCTCAGATTTGAGTATGCGAGTAGTTTCTTATTTCATGGTCTCTCTACATTGCGGTGCTACGTGTGCATGTGCATGTGTATGCATATATATATATATATATATAATATATATATATATAGCTATAATATAGCTAGAGCTAGAGCTAAAGCTAGCGATTGGCACCCAATGACATCCGAAGACACATCATCTGATACAACTACATACAGACAGTGGGTTGGTAATCTGGCGTGCTTCGTTATAATTCGCTTTCTCACTTGGAGATCCGTGGTTGACTATACAAAGGACTTGATATCTCTCCGTGGGCATACCTTCCGGTGGCAAAGGAACCTGAACTCTGGAATATGTTCCACTGAGATGGTTTTACTTATCAAAAAGCAAGGTTAAGTACTAAAACAGAAAGGGAAAGCCATACAAGAGGACATGTTATGTAGATAGAAGAGTAAATGGCTGATAGATGGATATCGAGGATCTAAAAAGGCTCATTCAGTGAGTCTACCGTCAAAACATAGATGATAAGGGTTTTCTCACCATGTTTTTTTTCCCTTTCCCAGCAATCCTCAAATCTCATAGGAGCCGTTGCAGCTATTGTAGTTCTAAGCTGCCTCTCTACTGTATGGCGTAGTGGCAGCCTATTAACCTGCCGTCCATGGCTATAGTGGAGTTACCACGTGACCATGATTTTCTTCTGTCGGGCAACCCATCGGGATGCCTCCACTCCCATTCTGAAGTCAACTGCAACTGCAATCACAGACAACACACCCTTTGCAATGGCAATTACTATTCTTCCTCCAGTGGTAGAGGACGCCCGTCCCTATGAAGTTGACTCGGATGACGACATCTCCATGGACTCCGAGGAGGACATTGAAATGACTGGCATCTCTCGGCCTCACAAGCGACCTCGTTTACAAGGAAACTCGAATATTGGCGCAGGAGTTGTCACACCAGGAGAAGTGGTCACAGATGATCCGCAATGGATGAGGTTGGTGCAACCTTGAAGACCGCGCAAAAAAAAAAAAAAAAAAAAAACGCGCGGGGCTCATATCGTCATTTTTTTTTCTCTCAATACTAACAATCTACAGAGGTCACGGCACCTATATGAACCCGCTCTCGACATCTATCATTGCTACCGTTGCCGGTACAGTTCAAAAGACAAATAAGCTACTCTCCGTTCACCCTCTGCGCGCCCGCTATACCCCCCGAGATTGGAGACCTCGTCGTTGGTCGCATTGTTGAAGTGCAATCACGACGTTGGAAGGTCGATGTCGCCGCACCGCTACTTGCCCAGCTTCCTCTTTCCGCGATCAACCTTCCCGGTGGTATTTTGCGTCGACGAACAAGCGCCGACGAACTCCAGATCCGATCATTTTTCAGCGAAGGCGATCTTGTAGTTGCCGAAGTGCAGAGCGTGCACCAGGATGGGTCGGCGTCACTACACACACGGTCCTTGAAGTACGGGAAACTACGCAACGGTGTGTTCCTTGCCGTTACAGGAACCGGCGGCAGCGGAGCGTCCAGCTCCAGCGTTAAGGGTGGTGTTGGGAAGTCGGCCTCAGGCAGCGCGTTGGCTGCTCCTGGAGGTTCTGGTACTGGCGGTGTGGTGCGGGCTCGTCGACAGGTGTGGACCGTTCCCGCTACCAATGGTGGTGATGCAGTGGATATTGTCCTTGGAGTGAATGGCTACATCTTTATCTACAAGAATACCGAAGGGGAAGGTGGCGCATCCTCAACTGCGGAGAATGTTTCCATTACACGCATGGAAGAGATGGTGTCGAGTTCAATCTACTCTAGCCAGAACGACGATATCTCACCGCAGACCCGTCGGGAGATTGCACGGTTGGCACAGTGTATTCGAGTTTTGGTACACAGCGGAGTGCGTGTGGATGAAGCTACGGTTATGGCGACCTACAATGCTAGCCTGGAGGTGGATTTGGAGATTGGGGACGATGAAGACGAAGAAGATGAATGGCGACAGGAAGGTCGTGAGTATTTGGAGGGCGCCAAGGCCCAACAGATCCTCGAGTTGGTGAAGCAGCAGCTGTAATGGGTTCTAACTGCTCGAATGTATGATAATGATACCCCTCAGAGATAAAAGGGAACACTTAGTTGGCGTAATGTCAAAGTCCATGTTCATACCACACGGCCTGAGATTCCAGATGACACTATTAACTTGTCTATAATATACTCCAGGTAGTTGGGAGAATCCAGTTCACAGGTCTTGTTAGTACAATGTTGTATACCAATGTGATATAAACCAATTATCAGGGCCCGTGGGATCAGGATCTACCCAACCAGGTAGCTGTATTTTTGTAAGACATGAACAATGACTCGAAGAGAAATGATTAGAACATAGTTCAATAGACAATAGTTCAATAGTTCAATAGAACAATAGCCACAATAGGCAATAGGCAATAGACAATAGACAATAGACAATAAAATACTGGAACAATACCCCCAGGGCTACGTTGTAGCCATCTGATAGGCTTACATACGCAGTCACGAGTCAACCCATCTACTTCGTATTGTTCATTCTTCTCTTCTCTCTCCCTTCTCTCTCTTCTTAATATACTCGAAATATCCATTTTGAGAACATGCCCAATTACTTACTTCTTTCTCTTCTAATTCTCGACTATTGTCCAGTACCCATAGGTTAAAAACAACCTTTTTCTTGACTTGATCCTTTCTACTACTTACCTCCCGTACTGGGTTCCCCAATCTACTCCATCTTTTTCAAAGAACTTTCTTCCCATCATCCCATAGCCAAGATGCCCGATCTACGTCGTCAGATCTTCGAGAGTGGCAAGACCGTCTCGCGCAAGGCAGCATCCCGTGAAGCATCCCGCACCAACTCCCCCACCAATTCGAAGCAGACCTCGCGCCAGGGCTCCCGCAATGCCAGCAGAGCTCCTTCAGACGAAGAAGACTCGGGTTTCCTCTCTGATGAGACATCTATGAGGTAAGAACATATAACACTTTGCAGCTTTTTTGTCCTTTGTGTTTTTCTCTTTTCTCTTTTCTTTTTTTTTTTTTCTTTCTTTTCTTGTATCTTCACATGTTCCCCACTCCCGTGGCGGGATGATGTCACCAATGATGTCGGCATGTTTTCCAATCAACGCACTAACCAAGTTGGGATAGCATCGGCAGTATCGGATCTCTCGACGATGAGCACCCCGAACAAGATAATCCCGATTGGGAACAAGAACTCGGCGAGCGTATTCAAGAAATTCTCGATCGCAAGCGCAGCAGTGTCCAAGGCCGTGAGGAGGCCCTGCAAGCATTCTGCCGCCTGACCAAATACCACTATACAGTGGAAGAAATCAACGGCGCCGTTCCAGACCTACTGGCGGCATTTGAGCGAAGTGTCCGCACCGAGGTCAGTGTGCGTGAAGCAACTCTTGGCTTGCGCGCTATCGAGTTGCTTGTCATCTCAGCTTTCGACAACACCGTTTACGAAAACACCGAGCCCTTGCTCACCCGTACCATCCGTGACTCCGCCTCCCCTCTTGTCAAGGTAGCCGCTATTCACTGCCTCGGCGCATGCACTATCTTCGGGGGTGCCGGTGAAGATGGCATGCTTGAACAGATGGGTTTCCTCCTGGACATCATCGCCTCTGACGGCCAATCCATCGATGCCGCAGACGACCCCACCATTGTAACCGCCGCGCTCCAGCAGTGGGGATTCCTCGTCACCGAAGTCAACGACTTCGAAGAAGAAAGCGAGGAAGCAATCCAGATCTTCATGGATCAGCTCGATAGTTCTGATTCCAACGTGCAGATCGCAGCAGGTGAGAACATCGCCCTACTCTATGAGAAGAGCTACGGCCCCCAAGAGGACGACGAAGACGAGGAGAGCGTAGAGTCAAACGACGAAAGCGACGAGCATGAGCATGAGAACTATCCCACATCCGATCCCAAGCTTGTGAAGCGATACAACGCCTACCACAACACTCCCGAGCTGGAGAGCCAACTTCAGCAATTGGCCACCATCCACGGCAAGCAGATCAGCAAGCGCGACAAGAAATCACTCCACAGCAACTTTGCCTCGATCCTCACCACTGTCGAGAACCCACGCCGCGGTCCTCGCTACAACACCGCCATCGACCAGAACACCAACCGCCACTACGGTAGCACTCTCACCGTCAAGATTGGCCGCCACGGACTCATGACTATCGACCGCTGGTGGAAGTGGGTGCGACTCAATGCTTTGCGCCGCATCCTGCAGGGCGGCTTTTCCGAGCACTACTTCCAGGGTAACCGTTCCGTTCTCAACAGTCTCCCTGTCATGATGCGCATGGCAAACCAGGGTCACGGCTCGGCGGATCGCCAGAGTGCACGCAAGGCAGCCAAGATGCGCAACTCGCGTCGCTGGACTACTTACCAATCCGATGATGAGGATGAGTAAATAAGTACCTCCCTTGTATACTCATATCGGTGATGACTTAGCTATTGAATGATGAATAAAGGGAGGCATGAGATATCTTCGACATGGATTCGACGATGATAGCTTAGGGTTTTACGCCATTTGAAAGATTTCAACTTCTTTCCTTTGATATTTCTCGGTTTTTCTGCTTTCGTGTATATTTTGTCTCTATCCACTTGCCTTGTTTTTCATCCAACTTTGTACCTAACGAAATGATACTGGGCATTAAGCACCCAATGTACTTACGATATTCAATAAACCGTTCAAGTGAACAATAGTCTTAAGAGAAAAGTCCGTATTTATCTTTATATAAAGTGAAGAAGGTCCTGCCCAAAACATCTCACCCACATAACTAAGGTCCCATCATCTCTCCCGTAAGATCTTGGTGCATGTCCAATAGAATATAACCAGTAGATAGTCTCCAAGAAAAGGTCAACCAACATCAACAACCCTCCAGTCTAACCCCTCTAATCCTCAAACACAGGCACAACATTAGACCAGCTCCCCCTAGCCCTCTCCTCCCAATATCCATCCTTCCCACCCTTAAGTCGCCAAGCAACCTCCCCATCAGAGTCATTACTAACCCGCGTAAACCAGCGCGGAGTCCAACTCTCCCCGGTATTTTCCATCTCGCGCCTGCGTGCACGTTGTCCCTCTTCAAGCTGCACCTTAACCTCCTCCGCGTGGTCGAGGTCACCGTTTTCCAGCGCGCGCTGGTCAGGGCGCAGACGGGAGTCCGTCACAGGCAAATGATTATCCTCGATCGGGGTGATTTCATTCAGCGCGACCGCAAAGGACGTGAGACCGTAGTGCTTTGGCGCGGAGGGGACGAGCGAGCCGGCAGTCCAGATCGTGGTACCGGTGGGGTTACCGTCGCGGGTGAGAGTCAGCGAGGAGGGCCAGGAGCCGGATAAGCCGAGGGGTACGGGGTTATTGTTTGCGTCGACGGTGCGGGTGGAGACTTCCTCGCTGCGACCGGAGAACATGCCGCCGGCTTTGAAGGTTGAGATGGAGCGGTGGCCGGTGGACTCGTTTATGACGGCTAGCTCGCCGACGGGCTCAACGTATTTCTCGCCTGCGATGATGTTGCGTAGGAAGGATGTTGCGGGCGTGAAGCTGTAGCGGTCGCCGGTGCTGTGTAGGGTAATGCGAACGCGACCTTCGGTTGTGATCTCGGCGGATTTGCCCCAGAATTTCTGGCTAGGCATCGGCGATTGCGAGATGCTCCATTCTTTGCTGTCGGCTTGGTAGGCTAGTTGTACCGGTCGGTGTGAGACTTTCTCTGCGATGAAGCGGAAGCCTCGGTCTTCGCGGACGAGCTCATAGGTCTCGCCGAGCATTGGATTGAATGGTTTGCGGATGGAGCGTTCGCGGACGCGGTTGCTTGAGAGAGAGGATACTGCGAAGGCGGTTACGTATATCAGGCGCTCGATCGGGTCTTTGGATTGGGTGGCCTGGTCAAGCAGATTTGAGTACTCTAGGACCTCGGCGGCGCGTTGCAGGAGAGACATGGGTTCGTTGGCGGAGACCGGCATCGAAATCGTAGATAAGTCCTTTCCGACGTTCTTGCGCAAGAACCCAATCAAGCTTGGGGGCAAGACTGTTGGGGCGATGATATTCGCGCGGCGTTTTATTGGGTCCAGAGGCAGCGGGCTCAGCGATTTGGGTCTGACTGGGAACAGGCCCGATGCGCTGCTGCTTTCCTGACGAGTTGCTGCCGCGTCGGATTCACCGTCGCTATCAGAGGGGGCGTCGTCCTCAACTTCCTCGGCAGCAGAGGCAGGCCGGTCCTCTTCAGGCCCTTCGTCGTCGCTGTCCTGGATGGTCAGGAGGGGAGACTTGTCACCACCTCCATCTGTTGCATCAAAGAATTCTTGTGACATGTCAGACTCCATGCTCCGCCGGGGAACCATAGATGGCCGAGGCGGATGCCGTCGCTCCTTGCTCTCGGTAATCAGCGTGGAGAACTCAGAGACCGCATTGTCAAGATCACGTAGTACCGCCATCAAATTATCATGGATCTCATCCATGCTGTCTACGTGACTAGTGACACTGGCAGGCTTCCCCTTGCCGTCAGTGGCAGGTACCGCAAGCTGCGAGGAACTAGAGTTCGTTGTCATGGCCGGTGGTCGCTTGCTGCTGGGATTCGACGGTCCACTTGTCTTCCGCTTCCAGAATGGCCGTTTGGTCTCCGCCTCACTGGGAGTAGTCTCATGGGTACTGCGCTGGGGACTAGGGGATCGGCCACGCGAACGAGGCCGGTCGATAGGAGTTGGGAGGGGTGAGGCAAGATATTTGGGATCTGTATCCTTGGCAAGCCGGCGTATCGCATCTCGCGACCCGGAAATATGGCCGACAAGGCTCTCCACGCGAGTCCATTCACTCTCCTCCGCCGGGGAGGGCTGTGATGGAGCGTACAGCCGCAGCTCCGGAGGGGCAGCTAGACCATCATTGTTTTTATCCTTGGAAGCCTCCTTGGAGGAAGCTCTCTGGAGGGCACTCTTCCACGCACCAAATTCATGCTCGTTATTAGCACGCAGATGCCAGATCTCAGTACCGGAATCAATAGAGATCTCACGGGACTTTTCGTTGGTCGCAACGGCCGCTAGCGAGAGCGGGATCGC